ACCAGAATCTACATTAACCTGGTAAACACAACTCTTCCCACTCTAGTGACTCCCTGAGACCCTGCCTCACCCAACTCATAAACTACACAAGTGTTGGTCATTGGCTGAACTTTAAGGGAGGCTAAATAACAAAACAAACAAACAAACAAATCAGAAACAAACTCATAGATACCAAGAACATTTTGATGGCTGCCAGATGGGAACGGGTTGGGGGTATGGCTGAAAAAAGGGAAGGGATTTAGGAATACAAACTTGTTGTTACAAAGTAGTTATGGAAGTGTAGGGTATAGCATAAGAAATATATTGTAATAACTATACATGGTGTCAGATGGGTACTACATTTGTTGGAGTGATAGATGGGAGGAGGTTGGGGAGCAGGGTGGAAAAGATGAAGGGATTAAAAAGTACAAATTTGTTGTTACAACATAGTCATGGGGATGTAAAGTACAGCATAAGGAATACAGTCAATAACGTGGTAGTAGCTATGTATAGTGCCAGAGAAGTACTATACTAGTTAGGGGGATCACTTCTTAAATTACATAAATGTCTAAGCACTACGCTGTAACACCTGAAATTAATAAAAAATAATATTGAATGTCAACTTTCGGAGGGAAGGTGAACAGCAATAAGTGGTCCAAATTTCCAGGTATAAAACAAATAAGTCATGGTGATATAGTGTACAGCATGGAAAATATAGTCAATAATATTATGATAGCATGGTACAGTGTCAGATGGTTGCTGGACTTATCATGGTGATCACTTCTTTAGGTATATAAATGTTAAATAACTATGGTGTAAACCTGAAACTAATATAATATTGTATGTTTGCTATATTTTAAATAAAAATCTTAAAAGAAAAAAAGAAAAAAACCCCCAAAATTCTGAAATATGAGGTGGATTTCATTTACATTTCATTTTCTACATCTTTTTGAGTCTACTTTAATTTTTGGGAATTTTTAACGTTATGTTTCTTGAATTGGTACATAATTAGGTGTCCTTAAATTTTTTTTCATAATTTAAAAATAATTTTGCCCTTTTCTAGAGAATAAACATATGGATAATGAAGAAGTCAAGGGGAGTTTTGAAATAAACTTTCTGAGCCTCTAAATAGTTATAAAATGGGTTTTTTTTCCCCCTGTTGGTTTAGTAAGTGAGAACTGAAAGGCACTTTCCCAATGGGCCATTTTTCCAGAATCAGCTGCCCTGGACGTCCACCCTCCCTGTGGTTGGGTTCGTAGAGCAGATGGTGCAGGCAACATGGGGGATATTATGGAAATGACATTAGGAACAATTATTCCACCACTGAGTATTAGTGCTCTGAACTTTGTGATGCATAGGGACCTATGCTGTGCAGTTCTTCAGAATTAGAAAATCTTATAAAACTAATCCAGCAAGACAAATGTCAGGGAGTTTGCACTTTGTCCTTATTTCTTTGAGTAAGGAGAGTAATTTTTGATCATTTAAAAATTAGCCAGGATTCCTGATTAGGACTCCTAAAAATAGGAAGAATTCTGAGTTGATTTTCTATTTGGCTATGAATTCAGTGATTTTTGCCTCAAATATTTTACCCTCTAGAGTGGCTGACAAAAATAATCTATTGTTATAGGGACTTATTTAAAAAAAATGAGAATGATAACGTACCCAAATCCATTCAAAAAGACATCTGTATCAGTTTCCTATTGCTATTATAGCAAATTGCCACAAATTTGGTAGTTTAAAACAGCACAAATGTATTATCTTGTAATTCTGGAGGTCATTAATATCTCTGCCCTAAAATTTTATAATTCCATATAAGTGTTAAGCCAACTGCCTTATAAGACTTATGAATGAATTCAATACATGCTAGATTTTAGAAATGTGAACTATAAATATTGATTTCACTCTCAATACATATTATTTCATGTTTATGATTGTCCTTTTTTTTTTTTTTTTACTCTCACATAACCATTCTACATTTTCATCCTTAAAGAATCATAGCCTGCGCCGGCCGAGTGGCACGATGGTTAAGAACTGGCTTGTGACGCCAGAGGGCCCCGGTTCGTATCCCACATATGAGGGCCAGTGACACTGCCCTCCACAGCTAAGATGCTGAACAACAGCTCGACCTGGAGCTGGGCTGCTGTGAGTCTCTAGCAACGGCATAGGCTGCAGCCCCTGTAGCAGTGGGTTGCCATGGGCTACCGTATGTAGCCAGCAGCCAGTGTGAGCGGCCAGCAGCCGCAGTGAGTGGCCGTCCAGAAGCCGGCGACTGATCTGCCTCACCCGGGAAGAGCACAATGATGGTGCCAACTTGGGCCAGTGAAGCAACATCCTCCACAACTAGACTGAAGAACAAAACGACAGCAACTTGTCTGTTCCCTTTCTCCCAATTCCCCAGCACTGTTCCCATCCCCCCAATTCTCCAATAAAAAAATCTTTAAAAAAAACACCCGAATCATAGCCCAAGTGAACAGGGAAAATTCTATTAATAAAACAATTTTTGTTTTATGTATAGCCTAGGAGTGATTAACTTTTTAACTGGTTTTAATAAGTCCATTTAAAACATTTTGGCATATGTTGCATACAAATCCATTAGTCTCTGTTTTGCAAAGCTGTTTTCTTCTTTAGTCCATAGCATTCTATATGCACAAGTTATTTCAAATCGTGGTACAAGGACTTCTGTTAGGTTAGTATTATTTGACTATGTTATTTTATTTACTTACCCTTTCCTTTGCACATTTTCACAAATGATCAGAATTCAAAAATAATTAATATAATTGGTTGCTGGGTATAATGGGATACATTGGCATTGAGGAATCAGCCTTAAAAAGCTATTTTTTAAATGCTGAATTTGGTTTTGTAATAGGGAAGCTTCTCAGCACAATGTTGATTTGCAAAGCAGGTCAAAACCCAAACTGTGAGGACTGTCAAAACTTAAGTTTCTATGTTTTCAGGAGATGGTCATTTTTGAGTTTTGCTTTGGACCCTCAACCTAAACCAAATACTTAAATGTGTTAGGAAAGAAAAATATTTCTCGTTATTGAGAGAAAGAGCATAATGAATATAGGATAACTTTTGGCCTTGGTGATAGGTGACAGTTGATTTTTTCCTTGTGTGATTGAGAAACAGAAATTGAAGGATATTTGATATCTGTTTTTAGCTCACTCTTATAGCAAAAAGGGTTCCTGGATCAGAGGATCTGAGATGGTGTTTAAAGTTTATCACTAAATCAATAACATAAAGATGAAGAGATTCAACCAAATTTTATTCCATATACTGCAGCTTAAAAGAACTTTTATTTTAGCCTCACAATAGGAAACTGCTGCAGAGTGTTCTCAATCAAAAATTAGTTATAGCATAAAAATACTTCAACTTAAAAAAAATATATTTTAAGAGTCAGTCCAAAAAGAAATTCTTTACTTGGTCAGTTTTTTCACCCCCGGCAGGTATCATCATAACTCGTCTTTCTTTAGCCTTCTCCTGTATGTAAGGCAGAGAGAAACTGACGTTGGTCCAATCACCTGTTCCTTTACTGGTAGTTAGGGCTGAGGCACAGACAGCAGAACAGTGAGGGACACAAGAACTGGCCACCAACCATGGAGGTGTGCTTCATGGTGCTCTGAGCTCTAGGCTAGGGGAGGATGAGCTGTCCTTGGCTGGTAGAAGCTTGTTCATACATCCCCATTTGCAGGTTCTACTGATCCATAAGGCTGGTAAGATTTCCATATTATCATGAATATATCATATATCAATTTGTGATAAAAGAAAGCTGAACAGGGGCAACTACCAAGCAGAAAATATATTATCTGGTGTATAACCTCAACTACAGTTAGAAGATAGGTGCCTCAGTGCACACACACACACACACACACACACACACACACACACACATACACACAAATGATCAAGGGAACATATAGATTTGTAAAATTTACTAAAAACTCTGAATTTGACCTACAAGATAAGCCATCTATCAGGTCTGGTATTATGGAAGGAATCTTTGTGATTATTTGGTTACTATGTTCTGAAGACTGATAATTTGGTATTAAAGGAATAAAAAAATAGATGAAAACTGATGTTTAGTTTCTCTGAATACCTCCAGCCTTGGCTATTTTCTATGCAAATGAAATTTTCTTAAAATGTTCACTTTACTCATTCATGCTTATAATGAAATCTATATGTTTAATTTACTTGCTCATTTCAAAAAAAATCTAAGGGGAAAATTGTATTTATTATAAAGTCATAAGTAGTGCTTATATTTATACATTGTGTACAAATACCACACATACACCTGGCTATCAATCTTTGTCATTTTATATATTAGTTCAGAAATTGTGAATAAGAATTTGGCTGAAATCATTGACTCTTCCCTTTTTACCTTACCTATGAAAGGTCTAATTTGGAAATCCCATTAGCTAAATCTTCTTAAAGAATTACTAGCAATAATGTTTCTTTATTATTCTTTTATTATTCTAAAATCACCTGTTATTTTTCCCAAGTCACCTATTTTATAGAATTTACATACTATATTGAACATGAGAATATGTATCTTCATTATAAAGAAGTATATATGGTCATTTTTATGAAATAGGCCACTTTCAACAAAATTTCATTCAATACATTTCAGATGCTATTAGATAGCTATTAAAAGAAATGGTTCTAAAAAATAAACACAAAGCTGAAAATATTTTACAAAGTGTCTAATAATGATCTGGTATTTTATTCTGACAAACCAGGAGAGTAAAATTCGAATGGAACAGCAAAATATAAGCTTGATAACATTGTGCTCGTCTGTGGCCTTTTCCTTGGAGGCATATAAATCACTAAAAATATGGGCAAGGCATCAGAACTAAAATGACGTTTATTAATAGTAACGGGTGAGGATTGTAGGGAATGGAAAGCTCACAAGGGTGTCAGTGGCTTTTGTTATAATTCAGAGAAGCCCAAAGAACAGCACATAAAATTCTAAACTTTTTAAGGCAGTTTTTTGTGTTTTCCCCCCTTTCTTTCTTTTATCATAGGATTACAGAGTGAACATCTTTCTTCGTCAGAAGTGGAACGATCCTCGTCTTGCCTACAGTGAATATCCTGATGACTCTTTAGACCTAGACCCTTCCATGTTGGACTCCATTTGGAAACCTGATTTGTTCTTTGCCAATGAAAAGGGTGCCAACTTTCATGAAGTTACTACAGACAACAAATTGTTAAGAATTTTCAAGAATGGAAATGTTCTTTACTCAATAAGGTGAGTCAGAGATTCCCGATTTTAATGAAAAAGTGGTTTTCTGTTTGTTTTTAGTGAGTGTTTAGAAATTTTTTGAGTGTTTTCATTGTTCCGCTTGAGTTCCTTCAATATACCATTTCCCAAACATGTCTAAGCAACAATATCTGACGCAAGTTCCAGATCCAGGCATTATGTGAGTAATTCTTGGAAATCCACTTTTTTAACAAGTGGCCCAGGTTGTTAACAGCAAAGTTGGTGGGTGGTTTAAAGACAAATTGAATGGTAGCTGAATCATACATTGTGATTATATTTTTATGTATGACTATCCCTTTAAATATTTATAGGTGAAGAAATACTTAGATTTGGTTGTCTGGGATCCATTTTCCATAAATTATTCATCAGGTATGCATATTTTTTTAGATCTCTTTGGGCTTCTCCAGTCATCCATCAGAAAAGGTCTTATTTACATCTTAGTTATTTATTAAACATTTCTCAGAAGACTATGTAACTTTTTAAAGCTAATACTAAAACACAACAATAATGAATATCAAAATATAAACACCAATAATAAAATTTCTTGACTGTTGAACTTTAGAACTCATTCAATTTTGGCTGTTCATTAAATATTAAACAGGTATAAATTCAGTAAATTACTTGAGGATTTGTGTCACACCTGAAAAATATTCTAAATTAAAATGATTATCTTAAATCTTGTATAGTTATTTTCTTCATTTAATTAAATTAAAAAAACAAGAAGTCAGGACCAAAATTCATGTTATTTTTATAAGAGATAGAGAATATGCTCAATTTATAGCAATACTCAACTGTTTCAAAAATATTTGTGATACCAGTAACATGTTTTAAGAGATATCAAGGTAAAAATATTGATGCTTCAGGCTGAATATTAACTTCTTATATTTTATCTCTATGTTTTCCTTTTGTTAACATTTTTTTTTACATTAAGAAAGGGATATTTGATTTTGAGTTCATCTGCCCAATATCAGGGATAAATACTATTTTTATCAGGTAATAGTATAATGTAGAAATAACAAAAATGATAATTCAAACTTAGTAGCTTAGTGATTTAAAAAAACTTTTTTCTACAAAATGGTTTTATAAATAATGTTAATCTCTTCATCCCAATATATTATATCTGTTTTTCATATTTTCCTATTTCATGTGCACAAATTTTCCTTTTAATATATTTATTATTTCTGAAAGTGTCAAGGTGACATCACTCTACTGTGAAGAGACACTTTAATCAGATTTCTGAAAAATAGTATGTATTAATACAATCCTGAATGATTAATTACTACATAAGACATAAAGGAAGATTTCTGGTCTCATCACTAATTAACCAATGTGATTCCATAGGAATGAATAACTTAATGGTAAATCCCAGGTCTAAGCAAGAGAATCTTGAACCTTTTTGAAAAACTACTAAAAAGCGTTTAAGTATCAAAATATAGCAGGAAGATGGAACAGACATACTTTTCCTTATTCCTTTTGCTAAGTACAATAAAAAACCATAGACACTATCTTAAGGAGACTCTCAGTGGTAGATATAAGAAGACTAAGGATCTTGGATCTTGAGAAACAACCTGGAGGTAAATTCATGAAATTTTTTTTTTTTTACTTCATATATCCAAGACTTGAGGATGAAGAAGCCAACTACCTGGACCCATCAACAGGTGCAGACAAAAAGTCCCAACAGAGCCTAATTTCTCCAGCTAATATAACATTCTGTAGGTGTTAAGAAAGGGACAGCCTAGCAAGACAGAAAACCTTTAGACAATTGCTCTACTCCAGTCAAACACCACAGAAAAAGACATGCCCCCCACAAGCCAGCAAAGCCCAAGTGGGAAGCCCAGACTTCCAGTCTTGCTAGCTGGTAATGAGTCACCCAGTACCCAAGGTGGTGCCTGGAAAAGCTAAATAGTGACCTGGACTTTCATCTCCCTCCAATCTGTAGCGGGTTTCCCACTTTACAGTGTGAATGGGAACTAGATGGATAGCCAGGAATTCCACCCTTACCAAGCAGTAACAAGATACTCTTCTCTCTTCCTGCTGGAATAATATCAGAGGAGAGTCAAGACTTTCAAAATCACCCACCAGTAATTTTCAACAAAGGAGCCAAAAACATATAGTGGAGAAAAGCAAGCCTCTTAAATAAATGGTGCTGGGAAAGTTGGAAAGCCTTGTGCAAAAGAACGAAACTAGACTGTTATCTGCCACCGTACACCAAAATTAACTCAAAATGGATCAAAGACCTAAATATAAGACCTGAAACAATAAATTGCATAGAAGGAAACATAGGTACTAAACTTATTGACCTTGAGTGCAGTGAGGATTTTATGAATTTGACTTCAAAGCAAGGGAAATGAAAGCAAAACTAAATGAATGGGTCTATGTCAAACTAAAAAGCTTCTGCACAGCAAAAGAAATCATCAACAAAACAAAGTATCAACCAACCAGATGGGAGAAGATATTTGCAAACAACACTTCCAATAAGGGGCTAATATCCAAAATATATAAAGAACTCATACAACTCAATAACAAGAAAATAAACAATCTAATTAAAGAATGGGCAGAGGACGTGAACAGATACTTCTCCCAAGAAGACATACAAACATCCAACAGGTACATGAAAAAATGCTGAACTTCTCTAGCTATTAGGGAAATACAAATCAAAACCACAATGAGATACCACCTCACACCTGTTAGAATGACTGTTATCAACAAGACAAGTAATAACAAGTGTTAGAGAGATGGTGGAGAAAAGGAACCCTCATACACTGTTGGTGGGAATGTAAATTAATACAGCCACTATGAAGGACAGTCTGGAGGTTCCTCAACAAATTAAGAATAGAATTACCATACAACCCAACAATCCCTCTTATGGGTATATACAAAAAAAATCTGAAAACATTTATCCGTAAAGATACATGTACCCCTATGTTCCCTGCAGCATTATTCATGGTGGCCAAGACATGGAAGCAACCAAAGTGTCCTTCGATAGATGATTGGATAAAGAAGATGTGGTACATATGAGTATATATACAATGGCATATTACTTAGCCACACACACAAAGATGAAATACTGCCATTTGCAACAACATAGATGCGTCTTGAGATTATCGTGCTAAGTGAAACAAGTCAGACAGAAGAAGTTGAGAACTATATGATTTCACTCAGATGTGGGCTATAAAACTGAAAGTAACAAATGAACAAGACAGACAAACAAAGAAACAAAAGCTCATAGACAACAGTTTAGTGGTTACCAAAGGTTAATGAGGGAGGAGACGTGGTAAAAGAGGGGAAAGGGGGTCAAATATATGGTGATAGAAGGAGAATTGACTTTGGGTAGTGAACACACAATGCAATATATAGGTGATGTATTATAGAATTTTACACTTGAAATCCATATAATTTTATTTCCCAATGTCACACCAATAAATTTAATTTAAAAAACAAAAACCCACCTAAGCTTAAAAAAAAAAATCACCCAGTCATAATGAGATCATTCCGACCATGATGTCAGTGGAAACCATGTGGGGAGCTGGAACATTTGGCAGTAACAAGGAACTTCTCTCTTTATATGTCAGTGGAGGCTAACTGGGGAACCTGAACTTCTGCCTCTACCTGGAAGCCACAGGGAAGCACTCCCACCACACCTTGCCCTGACACAGCAGTGTCAGAGAAGGCTAGTGCAAACAAAATTTGAACAAGATCAGAGTCTCATAAAATAATTCAAAAATGTCTAGGCTTCAATAGAAAACAATTCATATACAAAGAACCCAAACGTTCTCAAACTGAATGAAAGAGACGATGCCAACATCAAGATGACAAGGATGTTAGAATTATCTGACAAAGACTTTAAAGTGGCCATGATAAAAGTGCTTGTTAGTAATGACAGACATGCTTGAAATAAATGAAAAAATAGAAAGCCTCAGAAAAGAAATAGAAGATAAAGTGGAAACAAGTGAAAATTTAGAACTGAAAAATACAATAACCAAAATAAAAACCTGGTAGATGGGCTCAATATAAAAATGGAGAGGACAGAAGAAAGCATCAGTAAACTGTAGGATAGAATATTAAAAATTACTAACCCTCTGAACAATAGAGAAACAATAAGATTGGGGGTGGAGGGAGGACAGGGCCCCAGGGACCTGTGGTAGTATAACAAAAGATTTAACATTCATGTTATCAGAGTCTCAGATGGAGAGAGAGAAGAGGGTATAGAGCTAAAATAATATTAGAGGTATGAAATATTTGTAAATTCTGCGAAAGGTATAAATCTATAAATTTAAGAAATTAAGTGAACACCAAAGAAATTTATTCCAAATCACATCATACACAAACTTCTGAAAACTAAAATAAAAATTTTGAAAGCATCCAGAGAATAAGAGCATCTTACCTATAGGGGAAAAACAGAATGATAGCTGATTTCTTAGCAGAAATCATGGAGGCCAGAAAGACACACTTTTTCTTTTAAGTACTGAAAGAAAGGAACTGTTATCCTAGAATTTCATATTGAGTGAAAATATTTTTCAGAAATAAAAAGAAAATAGAAACATTCTTGGATAAAGGAAAACTAAGATAATTTGTCACAAGTAGACCTATCCTGAAAGTTTATTTAAAGAAGTTTTCTAAACAGAAAGGAAACAATTAAAGAAGGAACACTGGAACATCAAGAAGGTAGAAAGGAAACAGTAAGCGAAAATGTGAGTAAATACAATAATGAACTTTACTTTTCATTTTGAGCTTTCTAAATTATATTTGACAGTTGAAGCAAAAATTATAACATTGATGGGGGATGAAAAGTAACAAATAAGGAAACATTTTAAAATAAATTCATTCTCAGAAATTAATAAGACTGGTAACATTTAGTATTGTCTAATACCCATTTTGTGGGCACATGACAATATTAACACTTTGTACAGATGATTTGTTAGGATATATAAAAATATAAAATTCATTTGCCCTTCAATGCAGCAATTCTACTTTTAGAAATTTACATT